AGCTGAGCAGCGTCCGGGTCGTCCTGGTCCATCGGAGAGGACAAAAAGGGTTGTCAAGAGGAGCATCGAAATGGATCCCAGATTAACGACTGCAGAAGTGGCTAAAGTTAGTGGGATGAGCCCGAAATCTGTTCAACGGATTCTCCACAGATTGGGTTATCGTTGCAGCGCAGCTAGACGGAAGCCCTTATTAAGACCTGCCAACATAGTCAGACAAAAGAAGTGGGCAAGTGATATGATGACCAAGCCTTTGGACTTTTGGAAGACCGTATTGTTCTCAGACGAATCGAGATTCGCTCAATTTTCGGACAGTGGAAGGATATGGGTCTGGAGAATGCCTCACTGAGAGTTTTGGCTCAACAGATTGCAGCCAACTGTGAAGCATGGTGGTTTCATCGTGATGGTTTGGGGAGCTGTTTGGGTTGGTGGGAGGATCGAGCTTAGTGGAGTGGGTTGGCAACATAAATTTTGCGAAATACGTCGAAATATTGGAGGAAGGACTCTTACCGCTTTATTCCTCGGGTTTCGTGGACAAGAACACAACGTTGTTCCAGGAAGATAGAGCACCGTGTCACACTGCTAGAAACACCCAAAAGTAGCAGGAAGAAAATGGTATCCAGAAGTTGCCCTGCCCGAGCCAATCTCCTGACATGAATCCCATCGAAAACCTTTGGGCCATACTCGACCGGCAAGTCAAGAAACAACAAAAAAACCAACTTCGAAGAACAATCTGCTCCAAGTTTTGAAGCAAGAGTGGGCAAAAATCACACAATCTAAAATTGACGAGATGATTCTCACGATGCACCAAAGGATCAACGAACTCCACGAAACGAAAGGAACATCTACTAGATATTAATTAAATTATAAATAAATCAATTCATGTGAATATGACTGATAAATTTCATTTTTTCTGAAAAGGTGATGTCTATTTACTTGTGACCACGCTGTGTATACCGCAATATCCCCTCATGTAGAATAAATACAATCTGCTGTAGAGAACAAAAAAGCAAAGCAACTAGAATAAGACAATTTTTCTGGACCACATGTTTATGCTAAATGCGTAGAAATTAATTAAATGAAAAATTTTAAACAATTCTACATTACTAAAAGCAGGTAGATGTGTCGGCATATCACAAGACCACGAAAATCTCAGCTTTATGGACAGCAATAACTGACAAACGAATCCTGAGAAGATGCTAAAAGTGTGCATTGAATACATGAATGTGAAGGTAGGCACTTCCAGAAAAATTATTTTCACTATAACTGTTATGTATTTTTATTTTCCCTGTTATCTGATATTAATTATAAAATTAATATATACGTGTGAGTGTGAGTACGTCCATAGATTAGGCTGTCTTTCAAAAAACCTTTGGTATAGTACCATACAAAAGAATAATGTCTAATTATACTGTTCTGGCATTATCAAGAAGATTAGAAGTGGATTGGAAATATAAATTTACTTGATGCAAAAAGCATGGGTGAATAATATATATAATTTCATGTTAGATGAAAATAACTAGTGGTTTTACTGATGTGTATGCTTTGAGGCACATGTTCTCTTATTCGTTATTTAAATAAATAATTATGATAAATATATGAAGCTGTCTTTCAAAATCCTTTGGTATAGTACCATACAAAAGAATAATGTCTAATTATACTGTTCTGGTATTATCGAGAAGATTAAAAGTGGATTTGAAATGGAAATTTACTTGATGCAAAAAGCATGGGTGAATAATATATATTGTTACGTATCTGTTCGTTTGTTAATTTCCGGTATAAATTCTTTCCGAGGAACTTCAGTGATACAAGATCTTTCTTAAATAAAACTAGCTTATTCTTTCTCCATACAACTTTTTAATACACAGAATTTCCACAGTCAATATGTTTGCAATCTCGATAACAAAACACACTCTTTATATTACCGTCACTACCTTGACTCAATTATCTATCTCTATATGTATCTATCTATGCCCTTGCGCTGGTTTTTCTCGCCAGGCTTATATACTAATAAAGAGGCCGCCTCGAACAAATTCGGGCCTCCCCGATAATTCATGATCCTTCCAGAAACTCCAGCGCGCATGCTCCCAGCGTCACGCGACTTCTGCTGTCGTAACAATATAATTTCTTGTTAGATTGTTTGTTTGTTTTTTTAATTATGCACAAAGCTACACAAGGGCTATCTGTGCTCTGCCCACCACGGGT